GGTCATGGCCGCAGACGCCCGCCATGGTCGTCGGGTCCATAGGGAACATGGCAACGGGTCACACGCCATGGGGCCCTCTCGGACGGCGAACTCCAAAGACGTTCCTCAATGGTCCGGCTACCTTCGGTGCCATTGCCCGTCGTCTCTCACGCCAAGCTAGCTAAGGCGACGCGAGGAGGCATCGCAGAGAACTTGCAAAGAAAAAGAACACGAAAAGAAGAAAAGGATGAGAAAATGTGAATCAAAACATTGAGAAACGATAGGAAGGGGCTAGGGTTAGGGTTACGAATAGGGATGGACATAAAATCAACGAAGACGAGAGGGCCACACAAGGGCAAAGTGACAAGAAGATCAACGGGAGGCGGACTCACATGTTCATCGACAAACAGAGAAGGAGTACGAGGGAGCGGGGAACTCGAGGAGAGGTGATGGAGCGGCGATATCACCGGATCCAAGGATATACTGTAAGATGGCTGATCGAGGAGGCGAGTTTGACGACGACTTAGCTAAAGTGTAGCTGGGGCGGTTGGGAGGAATGGGGTTAGGGTTAGGGTGGGGGTGGGGGGGGGGTGAGTTTATATATGGGGAGGAGGGGAGTTCTTAGCTCTACCGCTTGCCAGCTGGGCCGCCAACCCTGTCGTTATAATGTGCGTGATTCTGGGATTCAGCAGCTGCACCCTCATCGTGCTGACCCGGGCCCATTGACCTTCGGGCGGGCCGGGTAAATAAGCGGGCTCTGCGGGCTCACGGGCTCGGGCTTTGTGTCCAGATATAGGCACTAGTGCAACAAGACTGATCTTTTTTCAGCCAATGAATAATATTTTCTTTCAATAAATCAGTAAAGATATTTTACCATAACTTATCGTTAGCATCAGGGCAAGACGACATACAGACTACAGAGCACAGAGACTTGCTCGACACACCTGGTGGCCGGGGCGTGTGGAGAGTGTGTGTGTGAGACTTGTGCTCGAAGGAACTGTTGCTGTATGTTTTGCAAATTCTTGGGCGGTACCACTATAGCTAGGCTAGCTACTTCCTCGTCATCTACTAGTATATCCGCAATGCGCATGCACTGCATCTTTCACTCAACCATTTCTCCTGTCCTATGTATGTACTATAATAATAATTCTCAAGCTTTCAGGGATAATAAATAATTCTCTCAGCACAAATAAATAAACAAACCTCTCTTTCCGGGGGCCAAAAAAAACACCCTCTTCCCAAGTCCCAAACAAACAAACAAACGAACGAACACACTGCTGAGCTGTTGTCTGGAAGCAAATGCAATTCTGTCCCCCATGTTTAGTTGCCCTGGAATTAGCGCCGCCGGATTTTGTGTAGACACTGTAGTACATTGTAGCATTTCGTTTGTATTTGGTAATAATTGTCCAATCGTTGACTAATTAGACTTAAAACGTTTGTCTCGCAAAGTACAACTAAACCGTGTTATTAGTTTTTGATTCCATCAACATCTAGTACTCTATGCATGTTTCATAAATTTGATATGACGAAGAATCTTTTTTTTACATAGGCCATGTTTAGATTGCAACTTTTTGCAACTCGATGAATAGTACCACTTTCGTCTTATTTGGCAAATATTGTCCAATCGTGGACCAACTAGGCTCAAAAGATTCATCTCGTGATTTCCAACTAAACTGTGCAATTAGTTATTTTTTTTACCTACATTTAATGCTCCATGCAAGCGGCTAAAAATTGATGTGATGGAGAGAGAGTGAAAAAACTTGGAATTTGGGGGTCATCTAAACAAGGCCATAGTGTCAAAGTTTGATTTGGAGGTGAACTAAACGTGGCCGAAGAAACAAACAACGGAAGGAACGGTGGATAGACGGGCCAATCAATCGGTCGCGATCACATCATTGGGATGACGGAGGAATAGTGTTGCGCCTGACAGAGGAAAACACTGTATAGGCCTTGTTTAAATCAACTCTAAATTCTAAGTTTTTTCACTATCTTTCTATCACATCAATTTTTGAACGTATGTATGAAGCATTAAATATAGGTAAAAAAATAACTAATTACATAGTTTGGTTGTAAATCACGAGACGAATCTTTTGAGCCTAGTTAGTCTATGATCAGACAAAGTTTATTAAATACAAACGAAACGTACTACAGTGTCTAGATTATAAAAATTTGTAATCTAAACAAGGTCCAAAAATAGCTCAAGCGAACCGGGTGAATATACCCTCTTCCCCTTCTTTTCGAGATGCAAAGGATGTTGATGGGTGTTGGGTGCTCGTAGCGCTCACGCAGACGCCGCCGGGTGGGTCCGGATCAACCAAAGGCCTCTCACCGCCCCTCGTCCTGGTCCTCCCCTCATCTCCTCTCGTCTCCTTCCAAAAGCTGGTGATGGCAACGGATAGGAATAGGATAGGGACGGCATAAAATCAACGCGAGGAAAGTGACAAGAAAGATCAAAGGCACACATATACTACGGCCTTGTTTGCGGTTACGAATCAGTATTAGATACGGTAGCACTTTTGTTTGTATTTGATAATTATTGTCTAATCATAGCTTAACTAGACTTAAAAGATTCGTCTCGTAATTTACAATCAAACTGTGTAATTAGTTATTTTTTTATCTACATTTAATACTCCATACATGTGTCCAAAGATTTGATGTGATGGAGAGAGAGCGAAAAAACTTAGAATCTAAACAAGGCCTACCTCTGTAATATATATACTGTATGTAGCTGATCTTTTGTTCTTAGCTAGGAGTAGCTTTCTTTGTTTTTTTATGAGAAAAAAAGGAGTAGCTTTCTTGGTACCCAACCCAATATAATGGCGTGGATTCTGATTCACCAAGCAGCAACTCCCTCACTACAGGTCGGTCGTTCTGGTGGATTGCACAGCACAAGACTGATCTCAGCTAATATAATTCTTCAGTTCAATGTATACAACGTTAGCATCTCCTTTAAGGTTTAACCTTTCCTGGACACAAATATATAGAGTATGCATGTATGTGCTGAAAATGCTCCACCAGCACCAGGATGGCCTTTTATTATTTTCTGAGGTTTGTGGTTTGTCCTGTGTGGAACTGTGGAAGACCTGCTACTTGGGTTCAAGTTCAACTTTGGAGGCTGGACATGGTTCTTTTCTTCGTCTTTAGGGCTAGACTACAGCCTGTTCGGGAGGCCATATCGTATCGTGGATTATTTATTGTTAACTGGTTTGGTGTGAGAGAAAAACACTGTTCCCGACTGAAAATTTACGATCGTTTACGAGCAAGCGAACAGGCTGTACTGCTAGATTTCAAAGAGGAAATAATTAATGCCGCACTTTTGTGTCACTCTCTTTGATGTTACAGGCTGAAACTATTGCTTGCTTGTGTGCTTAGGCCCCGTTTAGTTCCCTCCAAAAGCCAAATTTTTTTGCGCAGTATCCATCACATCGAATCTTGCGGCACATGCATGGAGTACTAAATGTAGACGAAAAAAAAACTAATTGCATAGTTGAGTGAGAAATCGTGAGACAAAACTTTCGAACATAATTAGTCCATAATTAGACACTAATTATCCAATACAAACGAAAGTGCTACAGTACCCAAAATCCAAAAATTTTCAGATCTAAACGCGCCCTTAGTTTGTTGCTTTGCTTGCTTGGCATCTATATATCCACACAATAAAATAAGCCAGTTTTCAGGAACAAGTTAAAGGAAGCAGTTTTTCAGGAGTCTATGACTGCGGCTGTGACTGTGAGCGTTTCACACCTAATGTGTCTAGGCAAGTACTAAGTACATTTGTAAGACAGGATGCTCCAGTATGTGGGTCATCCATTTCATTTATTTTTAGGCCTACGTTCTCGAACAGTTTATCTAACAAAAATGTTGTCTAAAAGTTATTTTCAGACCTGCATGCCGCTCGATATAAGTTTCCAGATACAGAAAAAGATATCTACAATGTATTGCTGAAGAAGAAGTATTGCTAAAAAAGTATTGCTGAAAACCGTAAAAAAGAAAAAAGTGTTGCTTTTTTTTTAGGAAAAAAAGTATTGTTGAAGAAGAACCACTGGAAATTCGGTATGTAGCTGCTGGCCTGTTGCCTTCGCGGCTCATTTGCCCAGTATTCGGCCCACGTCACATGACGGCCCAGCCCAGCCCAACTTTTTATCGGGACCACAAAGAAGATATTTTCCTTCAGCTCGAAAAGTGAAAGGAGGAAGAAAATATCTCACTGACGCCGGAGGCCGGAGCGGAGGGGAGGAGGGCCGACCATGTGAGCGCCGTCGCCGCCGTTTCGGTCCTCTGCTCTTCCAGCCGTGCTGGGCGCCGTCTTTTCTTGATCCCGTCCCTAGCAGCCGACCCCAGCTTCCGATTTTCGGTTCCTTGGAGGTATGATTCTGTTATGGCCTGTTGGGGTCTGATCAATTTGGGATCGGTCTCTCTTTTGCGCGTGTCTGGTTGAGACGACGGAGCTGGAAAATACTCCAGCATAATCGGTTCCTTGCTTATTTGTTAATTCTGTACTGTCTGGGCCTCGAATTCTAGGCTGTAACGTATGCTGCTGGGGGCGAATGGTTTTGATTTGCTCGAGAACTGTCAGTTTAGGAACCACTAGTCGTCGTTACATGCTGTACGCTCGCAAGTTCCATTTGATTACTAGTCAAGTGCTCCTTTGAAAATTTAATTTCAGTTTGGCATGGGTGTTTGCTTCTAGACCCTGTACTACTAATTCGTTGATTTGTTCTAGGTTAATTTGCTATTCGTTTCAGAATTTTCTCCTGATGCCTAGGGTTTTAGTTTAATTTGGTGGTGCTTGTTGTAACTTATTTGCCTGCTCAGCGATTTAGGGGAAAAAAATATTACGGCACCTCTGTTCATGCTATTTGTTAGTGAAAACAAACATATGCTTCTTGATGAGTGTTTCTGCTGTCGTATGATTATACTGCATTCAAATGTTTTTTTTTCTGATCACTTTAATTTCAGTTCAGCACTCTGTGCCTGCTCGACAACCTGAGATTACTCAAGTAGTGTAGCTCCACTAGGTGATGGAGGGTCTCCCGGAGCCACTACTTGCGGAAATCATCAAGAGGATTACGAGGACAAGCGATCTGAATGCTCTTTCCCTAGTGTCAAAGCAGCTCTACAATGCTGAGGCCGAGGAAAGGGTTACCATCCGCGTTGGCTGTGGCCTTCACCCTGCAACAAAAGCCTTGTCATCGCTCTGCTTCCGGTTTCCCAACTTGTGGAAAGTAGAGATCAATTACTCCGGTTGGACATCCAAACAAGGGAGTCAGTTAGACAACCGAGGGATTCTTGTGCTTTCGTCTCGGTGCCCTTTGCTGACGGATCTCACCTTAAGCTTCTGCTCCTACATTAATGACACTGGTATTGGTTATCTAGCGAATTGCAAGAGGCTCAAGGCCCTCAGGCTGAAATTTGCCCCAGCTATAAGTTCTAGTGGGCTTCTCTCGGTAGCGGTCGGGTGCAAGAGTCTATCTGCTTTCCATCTCGTTGACTGCATGAAAGTAGGCAGTGTGGAGTGGCTCGAGTACCTTGGCAGGGCTGGATCAGTGGTAGAACTTGTGGTGAAGGATTGCAAGGGAATCAAACAGTATGACCTCCTAAAGTTCGGTCAAGGATGGATGAAGCTTGAAAATTTTGAGTTTCAGATCAGCAATTGCTGGTTATCAGGGACTCCTTCTAATCCCTCTTATGATGCTCAGCACCCGTATAAATATGATCTCAGTTGTGAAAATCTGAAGGATTTGAGGTTGGCACATATTATACCTGTGCCGATGTTGGGGCATATTGTAGCTGTGCCACATACTGGACTCCATTTTCTTTTGAGAAAGTGCAAAGCATTGGAGAGACTTTGCCTGCACTATGTTACTGGTTTAGAGAAGAGCGATATGATTGCACTGTTCCAGAACTGCAGCAACCTTAGAAGCTTCACACTCCACGAATGGCCTACGGCGAGGATGCCACTGACTGATAAAACCCTTGTGGTTCTAGGTCGCAGCTGCCCTATGCTTGAGGTTGTCGAACTGTACTTCCCATATTGTTCCAATACGTATCTATCAGAAATATGCTTAACACAGGGTATTGTGATGCTGGTTCAGTCTGCTCCCGTTCGTGTTCTAACGCTTAATGGCATCGGAAATTTTGGTGATGAGGGAATGAGGGGCCTCTCATCTGCACAATTCTTGGAGACACTCGTGCTTGCAGATTGTGAAATGATAACTGATTCTGGGATAAGTTTCTTATCGTGCACACCGTCCTTGAGCAATCTCACTCTCCAACAATGCAATAAAGTAACTGATAATGGAATGGCTGAGCTGGTACGTTCAAAGAAATTGGAATCTTTGACTGTTGTATGCTGTCATCGGATCTCTCTGAATGGCGTGCAGGGGGCTGCCAGATCAGTTCACTATTCCGACTAGTCTGAAAGCTTCCCCAGTCCAGAAGGGAGTACATTGTTCCAGCAAATATTTTACACAAAGGGGTCATCTCGTCAAGGCCAGGGCAGTACAAGAAGAATGGAATAATCTTTGGGCGTTATGTTTGCCTGTTCTTCCCCGTTATATTAATGGCTATATATGTTGTATTAGGGAAGTAGTGACTTTGAAGACGGGCGATGCTATGTTGTATTCCATCTGGTAACTCGGAAGTTCTTGTTATACGTAGTGAAGCTCTTGTTGGAATGTCTTGCGTTGCTTCTCAATAGGGAAATACGTTGTATTAGGCACAAGGAAAGAAGAATTGTTTTGTATGAAATATGCAGATTTGTAAATGGGCGTTTGCAGAACAGAAAGTGGGAGAACCGGAGGAGGCAGGAGATAAATTGCTCTCACCAAATGCTGTTTGATCAAGGGTTTAGATTACCGATGTTATTTGTTATGCCTGGGATAGCAGTGCAAAATCACTGAACTTGGCCCAAATTAAACATGCGCTACTTGTGATAAATTTGATATTTTACAGCAAAGCCAACTGCACACTCACAAAACATAGTACATAATGACACATTTTTAAGGTGCTGGTTCGTCGTTCAAAATAAATCTCACGTTTTTCATATGTCGACCAAATGTAGGAGCACAGCCCACAAAACAGAACAAACAAAGAATAATTTCAAAAAAAAAAGACACAAACACTATATTAATAAAGCCCACGAACATTATTAAAGGTCACTTTTTTAAAAAAACGAAAAGCTCACAAACTACTTTTGCAGGTAATAATCTATAAACACACGAAACATTCTTTAAAGGAAAAGCTAACACATGAACATTATTAAATCTTTTACTTCTTTGCCTCGCCGACGCAGCCCATCTCGATGTCGACTCCATGGCCGTCAGTGTCGTCGCCGTCGTTGACAAACCGTTTCCAGTACCAGTGCGTCTTCCAGACACCGGCCATGTCCTCGATGGGCACACCCTTGGTCTCCGGCAGGAAGAGCGCGATGAAGAGCGTCATGACGACGACGCAGGCGGCGAAGAAGAAGAAGAGCACGAACTTGAGGCGGCACAGCATGGGGAGGAAGGCCTGCGCGACGGCGAAGGTCATGAGCATGTTGACGGCGACGGTGATGCTCTGGCCCGCCGGCCGCACCTCCAGCGGCATCACCTCGCTGGGCACCAGCCACCCCAGGGGCCCCCACGACCACGCGAAGCCGTCCACGTAGACGCACATCACCACCACCGTCGCCGCCGCGTACCCCGCCGGGACCGTCGCCACGCCGCTCCACCCGAACTTGGCGCCGATGAGGGCGCCCACCGCAACCTGCGCCGCCAGAATCTGCACCCCGCCCTCAAGGAACAGCACGCGGCGCCCGACGCGGTCCACCGTGAACACCGACACGAGCGTGGACACGAGGTTGACGGTGATCACCGCCGACATGAGCGACGCGGTGCCGCCGAAGCCCAGCGTCTTGAACAGCACCGGCGCGTAGAACATGATCACGTTGATGCCCGTCAGCTGCTGGAAAAGCGGGATCGCCACCGCCATCACCAGCTGGGGCCGGTACCGCCGCAGCCGGATGTCGCGCCACGGGTGCGTCACCGCCCTGGACGCCTCGCCGGCCGCCACCAGGTCGTCGTACTCGGCGGCCACGTCGGCATCCGCTTCGCCTCCTCGGGCCGGTCGCGCTCCAGGAGGGAGTTGGGCGTGTCCGGAAGGAACAGGGAACCGACGGTGATGATGGCGGCCGGGACGGCCGCCAGCCCGAGGCTGAGGCGCCAGCCCCACCCGCCGGCGATCTTCGCCGTGCCGTAGTTGATGAGGTTGGCGATGAGGATCCCCAGCGTGATCATGAGCTGGAACCCGTTGTTGAGCATGCCGCGCATCCGCATCGGCGCCATCTCCGACAGGTACACCGGCACGCTCTGGTTGGCGAACCCGACGCCGACGCCGAGCAGCACCCGGCCCAGGATCAGCATCGCCACGTTCACCGCGGCGCCGTTGAGCGCGCACCCCGCCAGGAAGGTGACCCCACCGGCAAACATGGACCACTTGCGGCCCGCGGCGCGGGTGACGAACGCCGCGAAGAGCGACGCGACGAGCGCCGCCACGTAGAGCGACGACGTGAACAGCGTCAGCAGCTCGCTGTCAAACTTGCAGTACTGGTTGCCGCCGTCCGCCGACTCTGCCTGCTTCCGGTACACCGACGGAAAGAAGCGGCTCAGGAAGGGGTCCATGGACGTGACGCCGCCGGAGATGCCGATGTCGTAGCCGAAGATGAGCCCGCCCGTGGCCGCCACCATGCACGCCATGAACACGAACAGGGTCAGCCCGCCGGGGTAGTCCTACCGCTTGCCGGCCGACGCGCTCGGCGCCACTGCCTCGCCGCCCGCCATTGCCACCACTCACAAACGCAAGCAAGTGTTAGATTGATCTCCTGACTAATAAGCCCAACGGCCTATTAGTCAGGGAAAATGTTAGATTGATCTCCTGACTAATAGGCTGTTGGGCTTATTAGTCAGGAGATCAATCTAACATTCTCCTCCTTGATCTCACTATTACTTTTATCTTTAAACTTTAAACTTCAATCCTTTTATCCTTACTCGTTTCTTCACAGATGATGCATAGAGCATGTCTCATCGTCACGGTCAATCGCCGATAGATTTAATGACTACGATGCACGTCTACGATCTGAAATAGTTACTTTAACTTTTGGGCCCTTTATAGTCCAGAGTCATAGGCTTTCCCTTAAACCCATGCCGGCTACATGTTCTCTCGAACACGTTGGCGGTAAGCCTTTTATAAAGCGGATCCATGAGCATCTTTTTCGGTACTTATATGCTCAAGACTTATCATTTGATCCCGGACTTTATCCTTCACAACATAATACTTTATGTCAATGTGTTTGGCAAAGCACCACTTGACCTATTGTTGTGAGCATACCGCATCTTCTTTGGATTATTATCGCAAGATAACCTCGATGGTCTATTGATGTCGTCAACCACCTTCAAAACGGGTATGAACTTCTTTAGCAGTTCCACCGCCCTGTTGCCTCATAACATGCTACAAACTCGGCATACATTGTGGACGATGTAGTGACGGTTTGCTTTGAGCTTTTCCATGAAATAGCTCCCCCTGCGAGAGTAAACACATATCCAGACGTGGATTTTCTATTATCTCCCGCATAGTCAGAATCTGAATATCCCACTATATGGAGTGAATCAGATCTTCTATACGTCATCATGAGGCCTTTCGTTCCTTGCAAATAACGCAAGACTTTCTTTACCAATTTCCAAGTGTTCTATTCCAGGATTGCTCGAATCGCCAAGTAACCCGGTAACAAATGCCAAGTCGTATGCGTACACACTTGAGCATATTGCAAGCTTCCGACAATTTGAAGCATATGGAACCACTTTCATTTGATCGATCTCATATTGGTTCTGGGGCATTGAAATCCCTATATCTGTCAGCCCTTGACTATAGGAGCGGTGAGGGACTACATTTGTGCATACTGAATTTCTTTAAGACTTTTTCTATGTATGCCTTTTGTGACAGTCCTAATACCCCTTTACTTCTATCTCAGTGAATCTCGATCCCTAGAACGAACGAAGCTTCACCAAAATCTTTCATATCAAACTTTGAGGACAAAAACTTCTTTGTTTCCAGTAGTAGACTGACATCACTACTAGCAAGTAAGATATCATCCACATACAGGACAAGGAAGATAAACTTTCCATTCTTAAACTTTGCGTAGACACAATTGTCCTCAACATTATCTTTAAACCCAAAATTCTTTATTGTCTGATCAAACTTCAAGTACCACTGTCTTGAAGCTTGTTTTAATCCATAAATGGATTTCTTTAGGCGGCATCCCAAACGTTCTTTTCCTTCTATGACAAAATCTTTTGGTTGTGCTATGTAAACATTTTCTTCTAAGTCTCTGTTGAGAAATGCCGTCTTTACATCCATCTGATGTAATTCCAAATCGTAATGTGCCACTAATGCCATTATGATTACGAAGGAATCCTTACACGAGACCGGGAGAAAAGTCTCATTGTAATCAATCCCTTCTCTTTGTGTAAAGCCTTTTTGCCACAAGTCGGGCTTTATATCTTTCTATATTCCCTTGAGAGTCAAGTTTTGTTTTGTAGACCCATTTACTGACCCTCTTGTTTTGGCTCATTTAGGAATTATCTCCAAATCCCAAACTTTATTTGCATTCATTGATCTCATCTCATCTTCCATGGCCTCAAGCCACTTTGATGAATGATCACTTTTCATGGCTTCTTCAAATGAGGTGGGATCATCCCCATTTGAAATTCTTTGATGTTGTACACTTCATAATCAGCAGTGAAATAGCTGATTTTCTAACTCTTTGAGACCTTCTAGGGGCCTCCTCAATTGGCACATTTTCATTTTGAGGTTGTTGTTGCTCCCCCTCATGTGTGGCAATAGGTTCTATAGGATCTGAGCCACAGGTTCCTCATCATCATTCATTGTTGCCACAAAGCGGGATAACAACAGTGCCGGGCACCACAGTTGTCTTGTCTTGTTAGTGCGACAGAATGCAGTAGTGAGAAAAATGGCTCATGAATGATCGGAGTGGGTGCATACACCGCTTCTCTTCAAGGTCAATTTCTCGAGCTACCATGCTCCCCCTAATCATTTCATCCTCTAGGAAGACAGCATGTCTCGTTTCCACAAACTTTGTATGTCTGTTAGGACAGTAGAAACGAAAACCTTTTGACTTTTCGGGTAGCCAATGAAATGGCAACTCACCTGCTTTGGGATCTAGCTTCCCAATGTTTGGGTTAAAACTTTAGCCTCAAAGAGGCTCCCCCCACACACGCAAGTGGTTAAGTGATGGTACTCTTCCGTCCACAACTCATACGGTGTTTTGGGCACCGACTTACTTGGTACTCTATTGAGAATATGAATGGCGGTTTTAACGCCTCCATCCATGCACTCGTGGGTAAAGTGGAGTAACTTATCATACTATGCACCATATCCATCAAGGTGCAGTTCGCCTTTCACTACTCCATTTCTGCTGAGGTTCGCCCGGTGTTGAATCTCGGGCGACTATACCATTCTCCTGTAAGAACCTTGCAAAAGGTCCAGGAACTTGTCCATATGGGGTATGCCGACCGTAGTACTCTCCTCCACGGTCAGACCTGACTATCTTAATCTTTAAATCATGCTGATTTTTAACTTCTGCTTTAAATATTTTAAATTTATCCAACGCCTCTGTTCTTTCTTTAATTGGATAAATGTAGCCAAACCGAGAGTAATCGTCTGTGAATGTTATGAAAGAATCATAACCATCCACACTTTTCACAGGAAAAGGACCACATATGTACTGCGTGTGAATAATCAGAGAATTCTGCGCCCGTTTGGCATCTTTCTTAATTTTCTTTACATACTTTTCTTTTATGCAATCTCTACATTGTTCTAACTCTGAGAGCTCTAATGGAGGAAGAATATCATTCTTAACTAGTCTTTCTATTCTCCCCCTCGAAATATGGCCTAAACGACAGTGCCATAATTTCGACAACGCATCTTGAGCTCTCTTTCGTTTTCTGTTTACATTGTTCGATGAGGATACATTTTCATTCACATCACATACGGAATTAACATTTTCACGAAGTGATAACAAATAAAGCTCGTCTTGTCGGAAGGCAAGACCAATACATTTATTATTAAACAATATCTAACATTTGCCATTTCCAAAATGGCAATCATAACCATCATGGTCCAACTTTGAAACACTAATCAAATTTCTTTGCAAAGAAGGTACATAAAGAACATCTCTAAGAATAATTATGAAGCCATCAGCAAGCTCTAACGGAAGATCACCAACGGCCTCAACATCTGCTTGTTCTCCATTTGCTACTTTAATGAAACTTTCGCTTCTTTGCAAAGTTCTCATCGAACGGAATCCCTGTAATGAATTAGCAACATGAATAGTTGCACCTGAATCAATCCACCAAGTAGATTTTGAAAACTTTACATACAAGGATTCATTTACGAACGTAATAATGTTCTCACCTTTATTCTTCATAATCATCTTTAAGAAATCAGGACAATTCTTTTTATAATGCCCTGTCTTCTTGCAGTGGAGACACTGGTCTTTAGCCACTGGGAATTGCTGGTTCTGAGACTGTTGCATGGGACCTTTTCCAGATGATTTGGAGGAAGAACTATTATTATAGTTCTTTTTCTTATCTTTTAGGTAGTTGACAGAACCACCTTGTGAAACTTTTATTCTTTCCTCCTCCGCACACACATGGCTATGAGCTTTTCCAAATCCATTTTTTCAGTCAGTATGTTGTAATTAACAACAAATGTGTCAAATTCTTTGGGCAAAGAAGCAAAAATCAAATGAATAAGAAACTCATCCTTGAGTGCCAAATCCATTGGTTTGAGCTTAGATGCCGATTGCTCATTCTCAAGATATGTGCTCTCTAATGCCACCGCCGCCACCAGAGTATTTTTTTCTCGTGACCAAATGCTTGATCACTGGTTGCATATGTCTTTGAAGAGCCAGTGAACCGACTCTTTATTACTAGGTACTCTGTGACGTGTCACGATCTGGAATTGAGCCCACTATAGCGAGGCTCAATCGTGTTCTTTTATCAACGCTGGACACTTCTTGTTGGCAAGTGACCCATTTCCTATGCTCAAGGTCATAGGACATCTTTACGGGAGCAAAATCCCGCTCTCTGTTCTGCCATGTAGTATCAGTCTCATCTGTGTCCCTTACAGGTGCCTCAGGTTCTTTAGGGCACGGTGTGGTGACAACCAGTCAACCTCAAATGAGGATAAAGGCCAGTCTATCTTTTCTTCCACTCAATATAGTTATCACCTTTTAGAGTGGGGATTTCTTTGATACAACTCATCAAGTTGTATCCTCCTGAAAACATAATTCAAATAGGGTGAGAACAGAAATAACAACAATAATTGCATGCCTTAGTTTAACGTTGGTCAAAATTAAAACATACAATTATTTTCTACACTAATTCTACATCACCGTTGGGCAGAAATAGAATTAATGTATAACAAAAAACATTATAATATTGTCATTAATCAACGTTGGTCAGAATAACAACAACATTATAATCAATTTAAAACATATCCATTTTCAAAATTAAATTCTCCCGTTGGTTCGAATTTAATAATGAAAATTACATCTTTAAATACGCAATGAAACTTTAACATTTAATAATCTTTTCCTATTTTCCGAAGCAAATTTACTATTTATTTGAACAAAAATATCGTTGGATAAATTTTGTACAGAAAATTATCATAAAAAATC